CATGTATCAAGTCAAAAACTGGATTTGGAAAGAAACATGAATCTTTCCAAGCATTCAACAAATTGGTTTCAATCTAACAGGTAAACAGAACATATTTTGTCCAACTTACAGTTAATCAAATGTAGGTGCCAAATCATTTGGACAGAAATGGAAAGAGTTCCTACTGAACATGATCAATGTGTCTCATGTTTTGATTATTTGATAAGAGCTTCCTTTTAGTAAGCGTGAGGACAGACTACTGATTAGTAGCAATCGTTAGGAGGCAGTTGCTTGGAATTACAAAACTGCAGATTATAGTAGCAATTGTTAGAGCCGGTTGCTTGAAGGACAAAACTGCAGATGGCCAGGGACAACCAACAGCATAGGTGATTGAACTTCTCTTTAAACAGGCTATACACACCATGACTTTTATTTCCTTGAACAGTGAATAAAAAGTACAATGTATATATATTAAATTTCCCTAAGACTGCAATGTACTATAACCAGGATATTTAGAGTTGAAAACATTATATATATTTTATAAATATTTAAGGAAGAATTTGAAGTTAATTCTAAGAAGGGTGTCAGATGTACTGGAGATGCATTGACCAAGCTAACATGAACTATTGATGATTTACTTTTCTTGGGGGTAGCAGATTCTCTGAATTGACATCAACGAGAAGTTAAGCGCTTCAAACTGCAGTTTCGGTTGGACTGGGTGGACAGACATTTGCGATTTAGATGGTCAGGTTGTGTCATTTAAAGGGGGCAAGAAGCATAGGATCTGGAAATGAAAGTTTGATTAAGTATGTTTACAGTGATCTACCAGTCTGAGATACTCGAGTTAGATATGTAGTTTAAGGTTGATGTACGGAAGCCGGATAGCTAGTAATGTCATTTTTATCACTGGAGAGAAATTGATGGTGCCAAATAAAGTCTCGAAAGGGACTAATGAAAGTAACTAATTGTGAGTTATTGGCTTTTGAGTCATTGCTGTAGAGGTAGACGTCATTTCGGGGAGGAATTTAAGAATTAGAAGAAAACTAAAACTTAGCTGACTGAGAGAGAGCGAGAAACATTTGCCCCACTACTGACTTGAGAGGTTCTCTACATATTAGAGAATACAGCTCAAGATGAAATTGTAGCAACTTTAGGGTTGTGAAAAGAAACCAACAAGTTCTTCCAGGAGATGTGTGAATCTGTGTTTGCATGAAAACCGAGGAAATCTAAAGAATGTTGAGGACCTTTGTGAGAAGAATTCATGCTAAAATAAATGGACTTGAACACCATGCGAGGACTTATCTTTCACTATCCATCTTAGCTACATCATCCCGGGAACCAGAGAGTGGTAAGACAGATTGCCTAGGAATAAAGATTTTTTCCAACTTACCCGACACCCTCAGGTAATAGTATACACTGAGATAAGATACTGTTGACACGGGGAGGAATGAGGAAGGCGAGTAATGGCACAATGCTGACAAGCGGGGATTCGGTGGTAGCCTTAGCGAAGTGAGGTAACTCACACCATTATCCATCGCGGGTAGTGTGATGACATAGCAACTGATGACATCGTATGTTGTACGTAATGTTTGCAGCCGCGCTGCAAGCAAAGTCAAGTTTATAAACAAAGGCATGCGTGTATGACGCCAACCTTACATTTGAGTTCGCTAACAAATGGGTAGGACATAATTAGCGAATAAGACAGATCGAAGATATTTTGGTAGTAGTGCCCAATGATTTGGCTACGGTGCGAGAAGTAGCAGCGAGAGCATATTACACAATCCCACTTCTCACTTTGACCAAGCAGGCGAGAGGTGAGCATATGCGGCGTATGATTCTATCACCTACAGTAAGGCACAAATTATGATTATGGGGTTTTCGCTGTTTCCCAAACATTACGCCAGCGATACAAATTGCCGACCCATCCACACAGCACGAGCATATATAGGTATTAGAAACAGTGGATATCGAACAGCAGAAACAACCCCAAATCAGCGGAAAATTATATGGAATGTGGTATTATACTTATTGCCGTTATTTTAGCATTATCAAGTTAGTTGGCAGTTAAAGCATTGATAATATTATTGCGGAAGGAGTCCATTGCACTGATTATTGGAGTGCACCCCGTCAGCCAAATAATGTTCCGAGCTACATTTGACTTAATCAATCTGATGCATTGGACGCTGACCCCATGGAGTTTTCAATTCTGTTAGCCAGTCTTGATTGAGCTTTGGCAGAGAAAGTTCAAGCTTTTAATGTTCACAGCTGCGAGGACCGCTAACCGCGTGGCAACATTAAGGACCACACCAACCTGGTGTGTACGTATGCATTAACTTGGCATACAACAAATGCGTACTTCGAGGATGTTGTCGTACACATGCACCTGGCGGACATTTGGCACATGTCGTTTGAACCTAAGTGGATCATTTAGCCCATTTAGAATTAGTGTTACCACAGAAACCAAGGAATTGTTAAGGAAGATCCGGAGGTGAAGCGCCATTGCCTCCCCGCCTCAGACTTGCCATCGTGGTTGTGCCAAGGCGTTGCAAATGTTGCTCCAAGCTTCTCTGCGGCTCTGGCCATGTAGCGCTGTAAGCCAATTACTCCAGGCCACATCTGTAACATATAGATCGGACAGCAGAAAATTTGCTACAACAACGCATAATTAATAGAGAGCCAAGCTAGTAAATATTAACTAGATTAAAGTTAATTTATTTGTGGGTATTTTAATGAAGACCTCAATATAGCCTTGGTATGTCTTGAGATGACCATCTACCATGATAACAGAATTATGCTTTCATCCAGGCTTCATTAATCGCCAGAGTTGCATGGCAATCCTATTCACGAAAGATGTGAAGGGTATGCTGGGTCGATCATAACCGACATGTAATTAGCTTACTTATTGAGAATGGCCTGAAGAGGAATTGATAGACGCGCTACTGGCTGAGCCATCAAAGATGGGATGTCAGCTGTGAGGTGGTGCATGGTCTGGTGTGAAGCGATACCCAACAAGCGCCTAACAGGGCATGGATTCTGAGACAATAGGAGAAATTAGAAAGGACTGTTGCTCTAACAAACTGGTCGCTTTCGAAAACCTTATGTGCAATATTACTCCCCGGTCGGAAGAGTGACATAAGTGATTTGCAGTGAAGTTTTTGAATTATCGGCCTGTGAACTGCAAACCACCTGCTGACCCTAAGAGGCCGAAAGGCTAATGTAAATGCTGATTTAAGCATCTGAGCTTCGTAAGAAGAGCTGCAGATAGCTAGACAAAACATTGGCGATTCGCTGAAGAATTGGAAAAATGATGAGCTACCGGTATGTCGAACTTAGCTTTAATCTTGGCGCATTCCCGATTCGGCGATGATGGCTTTCCTAGCCAAGAATGTGATTGATAGAGTTATTTAGTTTATGCCAGATGGAGGCGAAATCAAGGCCCTTACGAATACGAAAGGTTTACCTTGAATTCGACATATAGCCTATGAATTGCAAAAGTTGGTCTAGGCAAGGGGGCCGCCTAGTTGTAGGCTATTCATGGCGGCTAAATGTTGGAGACATTACTTAGTGCTGTGTTATATGTAATGCTTAATGTGTATTGAGATAAAGAGGATGGACCAGTAGTCTACGAGGATTCTGTCGCTACAATCTCCCAAATTACTTTTGGTAAGCTGGTTCGCGTGGGTTTGGCGTCTGGAATACTTGTTGAAATCTGCCACTGAAAACGCCGCTATAAGGCGTCAGCTATAGCGCTATAATGTGTGCTAATGTACTTGGAGCAGAATATTATGTTGTGCTGTCAAGGAAACATGTGTGTCCTGGCCTCAAACATGGAAACAAAAGGGCTATACCAAGGATATGACGCTCCTTGAATTATTTCCCATTGTGGTAGTGTTAAAAATGTGGGGAAATAGTTTGAGCAACAAAAAAGTTAAGTTCACATGTGACAACCAAGCAGTCGTACATATCATCAACAAGCAATCATCCAAAAACAAAAATGTCATGGTGATAGTTAGGTGCTCACGTGGTATGGCGACGCCAACAATAACACAATTTAGCGGTTAACGCTAAATGCGATTATGTGGCAATTGTTAGAACTTGGTTGCTTGAAGGACAAACTGCATAATTATGTTGCAATTGTTAGAACTTTGTTGCTTGAAGGACAAACTGCAGATTATGTAGCAATTGTTAGAACTTGGTTGCTTGAAGGACAAACTGCATAATTATGTTGCAATTGTTAGAACATGGTTGCTTGAAGGACAAACTGCATAATTATGTTGCAATTGTTAGAACTCTGTTGCTTGAAGGACAAACTGCAGATTATGTAGCAATTGTTAGAACTTTGTTGCTTGAAGGACAAACTGCATAATTATGTTGCAATTGTTAGAACTCTGTTGCTTGAAGGACAAACTGCATAATTATGTTGCAATTGTTAGAACTCTGTTGCTTGAAAGACAAACTGCATAATTATGTTGCAATTGTTAGAACTCTGTTGCTTGAAGGACAAACTGCAGATTATGTAGCAATTGTTAGAACATGGTTGCTTGAAGGACAAACTGCATAATTATGTTGCAATTAGAACTCTGTTGTTAGAACTCTGTTGCTTGGAAAGACAAACTGCAGATTATGTAGCAATTGTTAGAACTCTGTTGCTTGAAGGACAAACTGCATAATTATGTAGCAATTGTTAGAACTCTGTTGCTTGAAGGACAAACTGCAGATTATGTAGCAATTGTTAGAACTCTGTTGCTTGAAGGACAAACAAATGTTTGAATTGCATAATTTTTGGTAGTTTTGAGAACGTAAACGTTTCAAGTGGTAGTAAGAATGCATCACTGGTGGATCTTGGCTGACTGAAATTGTGTTATCATTCCTAAATTCATTGTTATTAAAATATAAAACATCTTTTACCAAAATAATTGACCTAATGTTCCAGTGTTAGTTGACATTTTTGTTTGTTTGGTTACAAAATGAAAGCTACATTGCCATGACCATTCTACAAATTTGTGGCTGCTTTTCTTCAGATTTCCCTTGTGTTGTAAGTGGAGACACTGTGGTATTCATCAACCCCATGTGAGGAATCTTGACAAAATTCCTACTATGTGAGAAGAAACTCAGCTCTCTTCCTATAGAGACCAGGCAGGACCTCAGCCTTCAGGTCCTCCACATGCGGGACATTTGGCTTCACAGATGATGTAGCAGAAGGAGGATTATATGGAAGGAGACTATCTTGTGGTTTCCCCTCAGAAAAATTAGAGGCTGTCAGACAATTGTTACAATGAGAAGAAGGTATTCGGATCTGCTTTCTCAGAAGAAGCATTCCAAGGCTGAAGCTTCCATTACCCTCTTATTCCTACAGATCCATTTAGAAGATACAGCCCAGTTGTACCGCGCAGGCTATCTGGAAGCAACACTGAACATTAATTTGACTGCAGTAGCTTTCTACTGCCTGTAAGCCAGCTGGGTCAGAAACAGAAAACAGGTTTCATCAGTAAAGTAAAACCCAGTTAAATGGAGGGATACCGCCATCATCAATAGAAGTCCAGTTACCTTGACTGGAAATACAGGAAAGAGACATGTCTGCCCAGGGCCGGATTGTTGCCAAGCTTTTACAAAGGAGGACAGATGAGTGAAAGTTCGAACAACTGTGCAGTGATTGTCTTCCCCTACTCCTATAATGAGTGGCCGGGTGCCCCATTGATTAACAGTGTCCAAGTCATGTGTTCTTGCTCCCTTCCTCACGCAGAGTCCCACAGTCCCACAGGTCTGCAGTTCCGTGTCAATGGCTTCTGCGCGCAGGGTCAGAGATAAGGGGCATGTCAAGTGGCCCACAGCAGATCAACTGCAGAAGTGGTTCACTGGAGACCAGCTATTAGAATTGGAACAAGTGTCACGTGAAGTGAAGTGCTACCAGAGGTTTATTGTAACATTCTCAAATATATCATTCAGTACTCCTAGAGAGCCAAAGCAAGTTCAGAACCAAAATGAAGCAGCAGGAACATAGGGCCATACCAGCAGTTGCTGAAGTTGATGTAGAACTGGAGGCCAGTGCCCTTTCACTGTTTCATGACCAGCTGTACCACACCATGCTATTCTCAGAACACTCCAGCCAAGAGGGATTTGGATAAGACTGGAGGGAAGGGTGTTCCTAGTGGATAGAGACCAATGGAGCTGCGGTCCATTGGTTGGTAGTATCATTGCCAGCCCCTCCCAGCAGAGAACATTGTGCGTGCACCATCAGCCCACTATTAAAGACACGGTGCAGTTCATTCAGCAGGGTAAACATTGTGACGTAAAAGCTATCTGCTTAAGCTTGCTGAGATCCCGGGTACGTCAGAAATACCCACATTCTTCCAAGACACACCACGAAGCTCACCGCTCTTGTGCAACCTCCACGAGGTCCAGATCATTATCCGAAGCTTACAGGATACTGTATCACACGTTTGCTGGTGTTGCTCAGTTTGGGAAATGTGATGTTTGTGTTTGACGAAGCCTGACAGATGTTCAACTCTTCCAGGTCTTAATCATCCAGTTTGCTGAAACAAGGCCGCTAGAGTTTACATACTCTCAAAAGCCACCTGATGGTGGGTTTGGCTGAGTTTATAATTTCAAGCCACTATGTCTTATGTTCGACTGCTACAATGTGGTTTCAGCCATACCCAGTTCCTAGTAAAACTTGGTAAAAGTGTTGAGCTTGAGTGTTAAAGAGTTGTGTAATTAGGGATAAGTTTGTAAGCAAACGATTGTGTATTATTATTGCAAATGAATGGTGATAATCCTTTCATTCCTCGGTTTCTCGATCAAATAAAGGGTCCCTGTAAATAACTGGAATCTACTGACTTGGTAAAGGCAGCACTCCCTCACTCATATCATATGTGTACCTCAGTGTGCTTTAATGAACCCGTATTCGTGCTTAGGCTCAATCAAGGCCTGGTTAGTCCCAGGGAGTGTCTCTGGTGGGTTCATTATTCACCCTGAGAGTATTCAGATCCCGTGTACAGTGTGATCAACATGCTCCTCAGCCACTGGGCCAACTTCCTCCCATGAAACATTTGTCCTATCACATGTAGCAAAGAATGTTGAGACCAAACAGTAGAATATTTTGCTGCAACAAAGCACATTTACAATCTTCAGAACATACAACATTATCTATATGGGTTGTTATTTGTTCTTGTATTGTGTTTCATACCAACAAGATTATGCCACTGGATAGTCTACCAGTTTTAGCCAGCTTATCACCTTACCTATACAGTGTTCTGATGTTTTTTCAAGATGACAGGGCATCAGTCTCACCTGTAATGTTCAGATGTCTATCCTGACCCACTGAAAATTCCTGGGACTAGAGAATAAAAATGGAACACACATTTCAGATTTAGCGTTTCTTTTAATTGACATTGGAAATTATTGAGCTAAACACAATTTAATAAGAGCTGCAAAGAGATTAGTCGTAATGTCCGGCTGGTTGTCGAGGTCCAACACTATTAAGTAGACACTGGCTATAATGTCATAGAAAGAGAGCTGATATGATGACTCATTGTTGTTGGTCAGAGTGAAAGTTTCTACTTCAAAGGCATAACATGTAAAACATTTTACTGTATTCTATATTTGTATTTTGGAGTTGCACAACCTTCAATGTTTGAAGCTTAAAGGACTGCAAGATCGAGAAAGGAACAGAGGAAGATTTTCAGGCCCTGTTTATATTCATTGTCAGATTCATGGGCCAGACCATCTTCGCTAGCTATCATTCATTTGTTTCCTTGGATATCAAAACAACTTAGAATTACAGTGAACATTTCAACTTTATGGTTGTATTGTGGTGAAGGAGAAACACAATGAAGAATAACATGTTAGAGAGGTGGAATAGTTACCACTTGTCATTGTTTCTTTCTTACAGGAGTCCTTGGGCTGTCTGGCAGTGATGACCCCTGCCATATTTCCAAGGGCTACTACATGAATGTCTGCCACTCATGCACACTTTCCTGGAGGTAATGCTGAACTTCCTTCTCAGTATTTGAACCCTGGGCTGGCTGGATTAAGTGTGGGCCACCACATTAAAGATCAGGAGATAAATGCCCAGTCCACATTCAGAGAACTGAAGATCTTGCCCTGATATTTAGCAAAGCTCTGGGAGAACAAATACACGGCTTTGATAATGTGTCCTTGGCCAGTCAGTCCTGTCAAACCCATGGGATCCTGCCACCAAATGTGGGCAGTGCACTGCAAAGTTAGATATTATCCATCTGAGTATGTGCTAACTTTGTTCTTCAGAATCCCACATGTCTTTGGGAAGAGTTATCCATACCTGGCACAAGCTGAGAATTGTTATGAGTGCTGGAGAAACTTTTCAGAACACTTACTGCAGGCCTAAAGCACAGCTGCATGCAGTTCAACTCCATGGCTCAAGAAACAGGAGAGAAAGGCCTTGGTGGGATTACATATGAGCCATTTACATCCAAGATGTCTACTAAGACCAATATTTTGGTGGTGGTTTTGAGGAAGTTGGCAATGTCACAGTTACAGGCGGCAGTTACTGTAGGTGTGAGAATCTCAGTTGACCACCTAGCACCTGATGAAGAGAAAATACCAGTACCATACCCTACAAGGCAAATACATGCAGTGTTCCCATCCCATACACAGTTAGAAGCTGAAACTCTGAAACTTGAGGTGTAACACAGAGTTCCTTTCTTAATGTCTGTCAGCAGATCCTTAACACGGGATACTTCACAAATTATACACAAATGATCAAATCACAGATTTTTGTAGTAGGAGTTACTTATGGAAAGGAAGTCATCAACAGATCATAGAAAAAAACAAAAAGAGGTTGTTTCACAGATAGAATATTTATTCATCTAGAAATGGAAGAGATGGCTTGAGAGCATGTGATCATCTTTAAATTACAACCGAAAATGATTTCCCTTAGTAAGCTGTTTTTGTATGGAGGACAAGTTCCCAGCCAAAGGGGACAGACAGCCTGGGACAGACACACTGAAGGTCTAAAACATATATGGTCTTGAAAACAAGAGGGAAGGTGTTTACAAGATGATGACATTGTGACAACTGCAAGGAAAATTGAAGAGTTGGTTCACTGGCAGGCGAGTTTCTGATGCAGAAGTGAAAGCATCAGCATGACAAGTGCTTACAGAAGAAACATGGAAAAGATACTCTCTACATTTGCTTTACAGAACTCAGAAAGTGAGGAAATGCATTCCATGTTTTGCAGCAAAAACCGATTACATATCCTCGCTTCTTTGACATGGAAAGGGACATTTTAAATTGGTCCTCTTTTGTATTGTCCAGAGGATGTCTACAGTTCCAAATATTCATCCAGTTATTGGATCTGTTTCGAGTTGTTTACTAGATTACCATACCCCTAAGTATTGAGCCTATTTGCCCCAGGACTGAACCCACATCCAAAACTACATCAAGTAATAGAGCATCTGAAAAATGTAAGGAAGTGTCTACAAGAGTAAAAGAACATTACCTACCTCACTGGACTTTTTGGAGAACATTCACGGCTTCCTGCAATCCAGTGTTTGTCAGGAACGAACAACGAGATGTTGGCATGTACCTGATGTGTCTAGGTGGGAGTCGGAGATGGATTCCAGTATCCTAGAATCAGTCTACATACCAAAGTCCAGTGGCTTGGATCTGAAACCCGATACAAATTTCCTCTACCACCTCTGCTGAGTAGCTGGAGTTCATTACTCAAGGCTGTGGGTATCACCAGAGTCAAACACCTCACATGTTCACTCTGAATTGTCCCTGGAAGGAAATAAAAAAGAAAAACATGATGGTTTTAAAACTTCTGAACAAAGGGACCAATTGATGTACAGAATGACCTGAAACTTATTCTGCAAGATTCTTAACAGAACTAGAAAAATTTTCAGCCACGACCTGACAGAGTTTACCTTCCAGTCCATCAGAAAGAGTAGTGAGTTTCTTATCCTGCTTCCAACTGAACAGTGCTTTCTACTGCAATACAGAGTGGCTCAAGGATCAGACCTCTGATGGCGTAGATATGGTAGGGATGATGAAATATGGTTTGTCCCATTCGAACATATCTGAAGATACAGCTTT